CTCTGGTCCCCTTTGTTGACTTCTCTGCACAGTTTTCTCTGCCATCACCAAATTTCAGGGCATTGTAGAACCCCAGCTGTGAAATGAATTAGAGAGTCTGAGTCAGTCAGGAGTATGGGCATATCTGAGTCTGTGGGCTGCAAAGTAGACTCTGTAGGCCCAACTAGCCCATGCTTTCTTGGGGAACTTGGCATTGCTTCTCTTCCCCCTCCATACCTATTCCATTCTTGCTCAGGATCTCTTCTGACTACCCACCACCCCCACTCCCACTCCAGCTTCCTTCTCAGTGAACAAACTACCAAGTTCACTGTCACACCTGTCCCCTGAGGCATGCCCAAAAGTAGGGATGCCTACCATACCCCTTCTCCCTGTAACAGAAGAGCCACGCCAGCCAGCCACCCACCACTGAACAAGCCAAGCTACACTTTGCCTCAGCCTCCCAGCCCTTTCCTGTAAATGCACTCACAGCCAGGAGGGATGCCATATTAAATCAAGACTGATGGAAACCAGTGGCCATAATTATCCAGCTGAGATGCAGTGTGGGAAGCTGGTCACTGCCGGCTCCAGGTGGGGACTTCTGAAGCTAATTGCATGTGGCTTTTATAAAGAAGATGTTCACTCCCTGATGCCTGCTCTCCTGGGTGTCTCCTTCCTAGTGCCTCTCAGCCCAGTACCCTCTACTTCTGCTAGCTGGGTCATCTATCCTATCTTCTCTAGTGGAATCTGGCCAGAGTCAAACAAGGCCTTGACCTGAGTCCCCGTAGCCTTCCTCCTCATCTCCTCAAAGAGCCAGGAATAGTACTAACCTGTCCCCATCCTTGTTTCTCCTCTGCCTAAAATAGAATATTTATAGACAAGTGTTTGCCTTCTCTAGGTCCCTCCACTAGCTAGCCTTTTACAAGGCTGGGCTCATGGCTTATGCCTTAAAAAAGTCATTCATTAATTCAACACATGTTTGATACAGACTCTGTGCTAAGCAATGGGACAGGAGCATGAAGCAGTAACATTCTGTCTACTCCTGTTTCCTATACATTTTTATCAGAAGTATGATACATTTTGAGAGTTTTTTCTGAGTACCATTTGGAGTACCAGGCTGGGGACCAATCAGGATGTGCTCAGAGATTTAGGCCATAGTTTGTCCCTTTCCTGAACCATCTAAAAAGCTCCTGTGAAACTTTCCCCTACTCTCACCCCTTGCTCAAGAGAATAGCAAGACTCCTAAGACAACCTAAAATCATGACTTGAAGAAGAGTTCAGGGACTGGAAAAGTATACCCTGGAGAAAACTTAAGGAGGCCATAATAGTCATACCCAAATTAGCAAAGTAGAATGAAAGTCGTATTAGGATCTGCTGGGGCAAAGGAAGAAGGTATGCTTATGTGACCCTACAGAGCAATGGATGGAAAGTAGCTAAAGAAAAATCTCTACCATCTAGGGAAAACTGACAACCAGAGATGAGCCTCCTCAGACAATCGAGGCATCCCCAGGACCCAGTTAATGCCAAGACTGTGCGCTATGGGCCTAGGAAGAAGCAGACTTGGCTCCTGGCTTCTTCTTGAATTAGAGCAACTCTTCTTATTATTTATGGAATGCCACACAGAAGATTAAACTAATTAAAAGGATTCTAGTACCCTCTCCTGAAAAAAAATAAAGCACTGGGTTACATAGTCAGTTATTAGAATTCACTGAAGAAAGCACTGGGTTACATAGTCAGTTATTAGAATTCAGTGAAGAAAGCACTGGGTTACATAGTCAGTTATTAGAATTCAGTGAAGAAGAGGGGAGCTAACATTTAGCAATGACCTAATAATGGCCAGGTACTGTGTAAGCCTCTTGAGTCACTCCAACTACTATTTATTCTACATGTATATATTTGCTCTATGCCAGAGACTCTCTTAAGTCCTTTTTATGTATTATCTCATTTGATCTTCCCCAGCATCCTACAAGGATCTATCAGGATAGATACGAGTATTATCCCATGTTACAAATGAGGAAATCTAAGATTAACTTCCCCCACGTTATCTAGCTCGCAAGTGGATCAGGTGAGGTTTGAACTCAAATCTGTTTGTATCAAAGCTATGATCTTTTTGCCATACTACCTTACTTCTCTATGAGTCAGAAGAGGAGCCAGACTTCAGGTAGTAAATGACTGTAAGAATTAAATGAGATACTATGTATAAAGTACCTGCACACAGCAGCTGTTCCACAAAGGTAGGTACCTTCATTCCATTGGCAACATGTATTGACTTCTGTGAGCCAGTTCCTGTGCTAGGTGCTGGAGCTCTAGGCATGACTAAAATATGGTCTTTGTAAATAAGAACCTTGTGGTTGAGTTAGGAGAGACAGATAGGCAGCTCAGTAAGTACACCAGAGATACCAGGGACCAGGGTTAGGCATGAAGCCTTTCAAGAGCCTTCTTAGACAATATGACATTTAAGCTGAGATCACCAGGGCACCTGGAGATATGTGGGAATATAGAAGACTTCTGTAATGGGGGAACAGTGTGAGCAAAGGCCAAGAAGAGGGAGTACTCTAAGACTCATCACTGAGGGAAAGTGAAGAAGACCAACCCACCAAACCCTCAGAGGCCAGTTTTTGTTCCTTCGAGCTCCTTTCCTGGCCTGTCCAACTGGAAACCAATCAGGCCACCTGCCAGCGCCTCACCAGCTGGTATGTGTGCATCTCCCAGGCCAATGGACCTGAGTGCTGAGAGGCTGGGTGGGAAGGGAGGAGGAGGAGGCAGATATATGGCTGGAGTCATCAGAGCCAGGTGATATATGTGGCGCCTGAGGGAGCTGCACAGTGACACTCTGGATTCCAACCGGCAAGCGTTGCTCCGCTGGGATCAGTGCCGAATTATTGCTCCATATGAAACCCAGGACTGATGGGAGCTTTCAGTTATAGACTGATGGCAACAGCCAAAATTGGATTTTTTGCTATTTATTTTTTTTAACTTCTGTCAAGGTCACTACCATAACAGGAAAACACTGCCCAAGCAGCAGGTATTTTTCATCCACTCTGCTCACAAGAGCAATCGGTAGCCACAACTTTTCTGATAGAGCCTTACCTTGTCAGTTGTCTTTCTAGAAAGATGTCAGTGATACAGAGGTCTTAGAGGAGAGGAGCCTCCTGAAGACCCAGGACTTTCCTTCCCACTCCGTTAGCTGCCTCCTTCCCCTGTCCTCCAGCCTCCATAAGCACTTTATCCTCAGGCCCATGCATTCATCCTCCCTGTGTTCTCCAGAGAATACCATAGCTTCCACCTTGTCCAATCTTTCAGCTTCTTCAACCCTCCCCCAAGCCCCTAGAAAGCCCCCCAAAAAAAGTTTCATTATTTATCCTTCCTTTTTCTGTACTCCTACACCATCTAGTATAGGTGTTAGTTCTTTCCTCCTAGTTTCTGTCATCAAATTCAGTTTCGCATTCACCGGATGTCCGCACTGTACCATGACCTGTGCATGAAACAGTTGGAAGTGAAAGATAATGCCTGCCATCAGGGAGCAGATTCACAAACTTGTTTTCAACTTTATTTTGTTTTGTTAGTGATGGGTATACTGCTAAAGATAGAGAGCCGTGCTTTGGAATCATGAGGAAAATGGTTGATTCTGCCTGAGAAGTATTTGTGTACAGTCTAGGGCTTCAGCCACTCCTCAGAAGTAAGGTTGGGCTATCCACTTCTGTAGTGATACTGCCTCAGAAACCCAAGGAGGGGTCTCTACAAGTCGAGTAGGTCCAACTTGACGGCACATAACAACAATAACAATTAGGGCTTCAAATCTATTCATTCTAGTTCAGCCCCCTGCTGAGAGTTTCCATTTCCACCCCACATATACTGAATCAGAAGCTGCATTTTCACAAGATCCCCAGGTGACTAAGAATCACCTTAGCAGGGAGTTGAACTGAAGTTAACCTGTCCAAAGCCCTGATACAGACCCAGCCTCCCCTGCCCAACTTTGAGCTCCCTGAGGGCAAGACCTGGCTCTCCTGTTGTCTTCCTCACAGCGTACCAGGCTCAGACCTCCCCATTGTGGCTTTCTTGACCTAGGCCAAACCCAGGGCCAGACACATGCCAGGTACTAGGCACCAGATGACTAGAACCTCCCAGGGACAGAGCACAGTCCTCTTCCTTACCCCACCCCCCACCCTTCCATTATGGCCATGCACAGGGCCAGGTACACAGCAATTGCTGAACAATTGTGTGTTTAATTGGTAGTTTAGCTTAAATAGTAAAGAACGTCTGCCTTGAGCATTGTGCTCTTATAAGATCTATTCATATGGAATCAAATTGACAGCAGAAACTTGAAAGATTACATAGGAAACTTAGATGGCAATTGGGTTTATGGATTAGATAGGAAACTTAGATGGCAGTTGGGTTTATGTTAATGGGAAGAAAACAACTCAGAAAAGGAGGATGAGAATGACTGCACAAACTCAATGTAATCAATTACATGTAGAAATTGTTGAATTGGTATATATTCTGCTGTGTGTATTCTCAGCAACAACAGCAAAAATAAATTATTGAAAAAAATAGAGGAAAAGAAAGGAACATAAATTTATTAAGCACTTTCTGTATGCCAGAATGATGCTAAGCACATTATATACATAATTACATTTAATTACTAGTTTACAAATAAGAAAACTAAGGTGAAGTAACTTGCTCCAGGTCATACCTTGTGAGTGATAAAGGGGGGATTTGAACCTATGTCTTCTGTCAGACTTCAGGGCCAAGGGTATCTATAGCCATACTTATCTTACTAGCAATGAAACAGGGTAAGCCTAGACCCCTGAGCAATAGCTGCCTGAGGTGAGGAGATGGTGTGAGGGCCAGGACAAGGGGAGAGAAGGAAGGACTGGGCAAGCTCCAGTGCTCCTGGGCTAGAGCTGTGCAGCAGGAACCCCCAGAGATCCAGACCTGCGTTTTCCTCTGGTTTGGGGCATGGAATGAAACTGGGATCTAATAGTGCCTGGAGTTCCTGAGCCACCTTCCTTCTCTCCCCACAGTACCAGGAGAAGCAGCGGAAGCGTGAGGCTGAGGAACGACGCCGCTTCCCTCTGGAGCAGCGGCTGAAGGAACACATCATTGGCCAGGAGAGTGCCATTGCCACAGTGGGTGCCGGTGAGTATGTGGGACACTAGCCAGCACCACAAAGGGCAGGGTAGCACATGGCCTCGGAGTCTGCTGTAACAAGGTGTACATCCTGCTGCCACTATGCCATGGAAAGAAGTGGTTAATAAAAGTAAAAGTGAATATTTGTTAAGAACTTTTTATATGCCAGGCATTGTTATAAGCTCTTAATGCATGCTGTGTCATTTAGTCCTTACAGAAATTCTATGAGGTCAGTACCATTAAGTCCCCATTTTACAGATGAGTAAACTAGGACATAGAGCAGTTAAATAGTTTGTTCAAGGCTGCTTTCCTATGCTTGCAATTTAGCTCTTACCTTTATTTAGTCTACTACTCACACCTCACACCCCACTTCTCATATGGAAAAGCAGATTCAGAAAGGATAAGAGTTTGTCCATGGTCCCTAGCAAGATGGCAGCTGAACTAGAACTTAAACTCGAGTCTTCTGTTTCCCAGCCAGGACTCTTCGTTGTAGATTGTTAGCAGCTGACCCAATTTTAGGAAAAACATGAACAACTCATGAATGCCTTTCTCTACACCTGAAGTTCTTATGTCTCATGCTCTGACCCCTGGGTGCCAGTGGGGGTATACCCCCTACTCTAACAACCCTCCTTCTCAGGCACACCCCACTGGATTGATAGCTAAAACCAGAGCTCTTCTGAAGTAGTAACCTCATCTTTATTCTCTGTCTCAGATGCATGACTTCCTGAGGGTAACCTCAGACAGGGGAGGGGAGGAAAGAGGAACCCAATGCCAGGCTTACAAAGGGAGTGTTGCCCCAAGGTAGTGGTACTCAGCACATAGTCCTGAGGCCAGCAGCATCAACATCTTCTGAGAACTTGTTAAAAATACAGAATTTTAGGGCTTACCCCAAACCTTTGGAATCAGAAACTCTGGGAGTGAGGCTCAGCAGTCTGTGTATTAACAAGTCCTTCAGGTAATTCTGATGCTTCACTAACATTTAAAAACTACTGCCCTAAGGTGTCTCAGTCAGTCCCCTTTATGTATTCTGACCTCTTTTCTCCAAGCATCTAGACCCACCAGATAGTCTATGAGTGCCAAGGACAGTACCAGGTTCAGCTCACTGATACAAGAAGCCAGCAAACTGAAACTGTGGCTGCCCTTCTGGGACATTCTAGGATGGCGTTGTCAACTCTAGGATACCAATTAGAAGAGTCATTGAAAAATGAAGGCAGCCACCCCTGTGACACGCTGGACTCAGCCTAATCTCCATCATCTTCACACACAAGAAGGACCCACGTTGGAGTTACAACCCCCTCAACAGGGGCCTGACCCCATCAACAAATAAAATGGAGCCTGTAGACCAGAGCTGCCTAGCCAGCTAGAGGTCAGAAGGCTGCCTACAGGCATACACATGAGCTGGGTAGAGCTTTTTTGAAAGTCCAAGGCCCCACTGCTCAGGCCAAACCACATGAGGCTGCCATTTTGAGTCCACCCAGGAGGTAGCAATCCCTCACTGCTTTGCCATGGCCTAGTCTGAGGTGGATGGTGGGGAGACTGTGAGAGCCCTCTTGAGTTAAAGAGAAAGAAGGAGGAGCTCTTGGGAGATACAGACTACCTGGGTAGAGAACATCTCTACTGGACTCTCATGTCCCACTGGGCCAGGACTGCACCTGCCATTATAGTGTTTTCCCCTCAGGGTCTTACACAACCCTTTCCCAGCAGGCTGCATGCTCTTGTCTGACCTCCTATTTCTCACCAGCTCCTCAAGCCTATAAGATGTGAAGCTCCCCAGAAGTAGGGGTTAGATAGGGCATTAGGGTAGAATGAATTAGACCAACTTGGGTTCAAATAGCAGGTCTTTACCTACCAGCTGGGCATCTTGAGGCTAGTCACTTCTCTGAGCATCATTTTCTTTATTTGTGTAATGGAGAGCCTAATCTGGAACCATATAACTATAAAGCACATGCTTTTCCAGTATGTACCAAACAGCAATGAATAAAAACTAGTCCCTGTTCTCAGCATTTTCACAGTCTTGGGTTGGGCACTGTGCTCTTTAGGTCAAGCCCACAGTTATGTCCTTCAACCTGGGACTGATCCTTAATTCTAGCCCCAGGCTTACCTCTTGTCCTGGTCCTACACTGATCTCAGAATGCACCACCCATCTTGTCTATCCTTGCCCTGGGCCCAGAGCAAAAGTAGATGGTTCCGTGCCCCCTCTCCCAAGGGCTGTCAGAGTATCTTGCCCTGATTAATTCTTTCTGCCCAAAGCTTCCGTTTTGTCAGACCTGAAATCAGTCTCAGGCCAGAAGTAAATGGCTACCCAGAAAGACCCGTACTCCTTGTCCTATGGTATGCAGGCTGAACCTATTAGGCTCCAGTGATGCTTAGAAAGACAGAAACCATGGAGGCCTGAGCTGTGGGCTTGGTGTATAATCTCCTCCAATTGTGATATGGTTACCTGTGCACCTACCTTGCTGAGAAGCCTTGCAGCTGGGGATCATACTGATTATGTTCAGAGCCATGTCCAGTCTCTGTGACCAGCTGTCAGAAGCTTCTGGACCAAAGCATCAGGTACTATAGCAGCCTGGTGGCTGTAGCTACCAGCCAAGGAAAAGCATGTGGAAGCAAGTAGCACCCACTACCTCAGGACTTCAAAACTGAAGCACATACAGGAAAATGAGTCTGATCAAGAGGGTAGGCCAGGCCTCCCTGGGACCTCTATGGTAGTATCACATGTGGACTGGCTGGATGGAGCCTGGTGCTCCATGGGTACCAGGAGGATGGGTAGCCAGAGAAGTGCCACGGAATGAATTGATTTGATAAATGGCCATTTATTACCCTCACGAATTGGCTGAAACCAATTTCGGTCACATCAACCCCTGGTAAGTGCTGGGATATTGATTTGTGCAAAGTAATACAGTGAATTTATCAGTGTGATCCCCAGCTGCAGGGCTTCTCAGCAAGGCTGGTGCACAGTTACCGCCTTACAAATGGAAGAGATAAAGCACCAACCCCACAGCTCAGGCCCCATGGCCTTTCTGCTCTGCCTAGGGTTGTGGAGCCAAAGCAGAGCCAACCTAAAAATCACACACTAGAGTCTTGGCGTTAAAAGTAAGGCACTCCTTCCAGAATTCAGAGCTGCTATTGGTCACAGACAGTGGGGAAGATGCCTGCCGTGTCAAGCTGACTTCCCAGGAGCTCAACAGTTCCTTTGCCTTACCATACTCCTCAGAAAGGCAACCAGCTATTTATTCAGCACATTCAGAACCAGAGTCCTCCCATCTCCAAGCCTGTCTTTCCTGTGTTCTTATCTCAGAAAAGGTCACCACCACTTACTGGTCCTCAGCCCCTTTCTCTCTCCCGCTCTCTCTCTCTCTCTCTCTCTCTCTCTTATCCCTTATAGCCTATCAAATATTGGACCATTCTACCTCTTAAATAGTTCTCAAACCTAGCTTCTCACCTCTGTTCCTATTTTTAAAAAAAGGGGGGGAGAGAGCATGGAAGTAGCATCTGACCTCCTCTAACTTCACAAGGGGGAGAGAGAATCAAGATGCCCATCAGCAGCCCAAGGCTCATTCATATGAGGGAGAGGTCAGACATGCCACCACCCTCTAACCCTTTTGCCAATTCTGACACCAAGCATCTCTCCCACAGCATTCTCAACTTCCCTGCTGGGTTCAATAATTCATTACACTGGCCACACAGAACTTCACAGACAATAATCACAATTATGAGGGAAGTAACAGGTCACAATTCAGAATCAGAAACAATGCATGATACAGTTTTTCAATCAGAACCACTTCTTCTCAGCAGTACCACAGGCATGCTTCCTTCTCTCTGGCCTCAGCCTTTGCCCTGCTTGGGCAAGTGTTACAAAGCTCTTTTAGCTCTGCCAGTAAGTGCCCAGAGAGATGCCCCACTCTGCCAACAAGTCTCCTCCTCACCGGCACTCAGCTTTCTCGCTCTGTGGGCCGGAAAGCCTGCTGCTCTGTCTCATGCTGGTCTCTTGGTTCTGCTACCTCTGCTGCTGCTTTCTCTCTGCCATCTCAGCAAAGTGTTACAGCACTCATGCTGCTCGCTCTCATGTGCGCTCTCTCTCTGTCTCTGTCTCTGTCTCCTGGGTCAAGGAGGCCCAGCACAGGGATCTCGGGTCCAAGGGAAACACTCCACTCCTGGCTCTTCTTTCTTGATGGTAGTGAGATCTCCCCACCACCACCACCACCCACCACTGGGATGGCTCATTTTAAGCCTAGTGAGATGGCAAAAATGACCAATCCTCACGTTAGGGGGATTTCCATGGTCCCACCCCCATAAGGGTGTCATGACCTTATTTCCATTATTAGCAAGCTATCTAATCCTCTAGGTGGGCCACAAGCACTTCATATTTGCTTAGTCCTACCCAGTCATCTGGTGGGAGTCACAAAGACCATGACTAGAAGAGCCATATTAAATAATCCACTGTACCACACAGGCCACCACTTTGTTCTTCTAGCCATTGACACTTTCATACTTGAAAGATTAACTTCCCTTTCCCAGTCATTTTAAATGTACACACACTCATGAAAGCATGTAAGCCAGCCACTTCAGGCCTTTATCTTGCCCCCTTTTTAGATAGCCAATTTCTAAATTGTCTGTCCCTGTCAAACCAGTACTGAGGAGACAAGCATGTTCCTTTCTCTGAAGTCTTCTGTTCCAGTTCAAACTTTGAGCATCTGCATCCATAAGCAAAGTCCAGTCCACAGCAAGCCATCAAATTGCAGCAGTTTATACCAGCTCACAGTGTCAAACATCTTGCTCTTCATTCAGTCAGGTTCTGGTCAGCTCAGCCCTAGCCATCCAGAGTAGGTCGATGGATACCAGCTACAGGCTTGAGAGTTCACACACCTCCCTACACTTCAGACCAGCCAGCCCCTTCTCTCTCTCTAATCCCTAGCCCAAATAGACTAGGTCAGCAGTGCCTGTAGGCTCAAGTGTCCACACAACTCCCTGCACTTCCGACCAGCCAGCTCTTCCTCTCTCATCCCTAG